TGGCCTCAGACTCACAGAGATCCACCTGCCTCTGCCTCCCAAGTGCTGGGATTAAAGGCGTGTGGCATTTTAAACAGAGAATGTGGTGGCATTTTATCATGCTTGACGTCATAAGCAAGTCAGTGCTCTTAGTAACAATGCATTTAACCGGGTGAAACACTCTTCTTCCGCTTACCTGGTGAGTGCCTCAATTATAGATATTTTACACACACAGTCGTACAATAATAGCCTTTGTCTAGTAGTCATAATGGTTCTTTGTGGGAGGAGCAACGCAGTGAATGTGCAAGAATCAGTTGTTGAAAAATGGAGACTTGCAACTCACGCCGTCTCCACGTGGCGTAAACTGGAGTTGTTGCCTCAGACTAGAAACGATTGCTTTTCCCTGCTGTTCTTTTTGTTTTCTGGACTCAGGTACAAATGGAAGGAAAAATGAGACCCCGAGCCTCGTATCCACAATTCCACCTCACTTGTGAAATGAGGGAAGAAAACAGGCTTTTCTTCTTGCCTCATAAGATTCTTCTGAGGTTCAGACCCCAGCTTGGTAAACTGTGGGTCAAGATCTCCTAAGGGGTCGTAAAGCTGAATGTGGGGATTGTGAAAAATTCGGCAACAGTAAAAGGATTCTGAACACACAATGACCTAAAACAAATTCAAAATCAAACAGGTAGAGTCCAAGGTGCTTTCTGGGATTTCACTCACCTTGTTCTAAACATACAACGTGTGTACTTTGCACCGTGTGTGCTGCAACACCACAGCACACTGCCGGAAAGACCTCACTGCTAGTCAGGACTATTGTATGTCATGAATTGTAATGTTTTTATTACACACACAAGGCTTTCTGCTGTTACAGAAACAGAACGGTTTAATTATGGAAAACAAAGACTTTTCAGATTTCCTTCTGTCCAAAATATATTTGAATTGTATTGTGTTAGGAATAAGGTTTGATTTTGTAAAATGTTATTTGAATTGCAGACTTAAGTTTCATTAAAAATTGTCAAAGCAGTTTTAGTTTGGGATTAGGAAAGAATTTTCAGTAATTTCTGAAATGGCACTAACTGTACTTCTGCTATTTCATCTTAAGAATTTATGCAAAGGGGCTCTCCCAGCACTGACAATTTACAGTCTAAATATCAGTTAACTCTGAAAAGGTGTTGAAGATGCTCTCCTTCCTGCAGTATCAAATATTCAGGCAAGACTTAATTCTTTATGTAAAAATAAACAAGCACATCTACTCACTGTTTGCAAAATTACCCTTTTCTCTAACTGTAAAATTATATGTATAGTAAAAATTGTTTTTAAGAATTTTTAATGATTTATCATCAGTAAATGTTTCACTTACACGCCTATTTTATATACTTAAATACGCAGATACAATTTTCTCTGGTAGATAGGGGGTGAGTGGGAAAAGTTTCAGAAGCCCTGACTTAGATAACAGAATAATAAAAACAGTGACCATTATTTTGATTGGAACTTCACATCCGCCTGACATTGTGCTGAGTTGTTTATAAATTTCATTTAATTCCCATACTAAGTATGTATAGTCGATGCTTTTTTTTGGTTTGCATTGTGTAAACAAGGAAAGTGGGGTTTGGAAAGGAGAAACACTGGCTTGGAGTTGTACTTTTGGCAAGTTGCTCAGTTGCAGCTTGAATCAAACTCTATCTGGTCGTAAAACATCCCAGCTGAAGTGAAAGCTTTTTTCTACTCTTACTTTATTCTGTGTTTCCTTACACATTTGTACAAGTATCAGAATTGATATGCAATACTAAAAATGTGCAAAAGTATAAAGTGAAAATGTTTCTTTTCTTCTTTTCCCTCTTTTCTTTTTCTTTTCCTTTTTTCTTATCCTTTTTTTTTTTTTTTTTTTTTTTATTTTCATTTTTTTTTTTTTTTTTTTTTGAGATAGGGTCTCACTATGTACCCCTGGCTGGCCTAGAATTCGATATATAGACCAGGATGGCCTCAAACTTACAGCGATCCACCTATTTCTGCTGAGATTAAATGAGATTAAAGAAATGCACACCACATCTGGGCTCTTTCTTTCAGAGGAGAACTTTGGGAAGTTGATTCTCTCCTTCTACCATGTAGGGCCCAGGGATCCAACTCAGGTCCTCAGGCTTGGTGGCAAGCACCTTTACCTGCTGATCCATCGCCTGCCACCCATTTTCTTTTTGGATTTTTTTTTTTCTTAGATAGATTTTCCCCATATTTTTTGTTATTGCCAGAAAATAGTTCATCACTCTGAAATTCTCTAAAAACTGTTGATTTTATCATTAGTGTTTTTTATACTATTCTATGTATCTATGTTTCAGCCATCAAGACAGCCAGGCATGGTAGTATATGCCTATAATCCCAGCCCTTGAGAGGCTGAGGCAGGGGGATCTTGAGTTCAAGGCCAGCCTGTCTCAAACAAACAAAGACCATCAGAAATAACTTTACATCTAAAGATGTGAGACATACCTCTCGGGAGTCTTCCAACCTTTATTAAAAGCAAAAAGTTATCTTTGTTATGTATAGGACTGTTCCCATGTATGCAGTGGTTCCCTCTTAACCAAGAGGATATGTTCCAAGATGCCCAGTGGATGCTTATAATTACAGATAGTGGCAAACCAGTGGTTCCAGAAAAATATCTGGTTATTTTCATATGTGTAATATAAATGTATAATTTGATTTGGGAGATAACTTATTTTCCTACCCTAATACAGTCTTTTAATTTATTCAAAAATGTGTAACTCTCATTAATATTTTAATATTAATATTTAATATTTTAAAGCCTACTTTCTTTAAATCTTTAAATCATTCATAACTTAAAATCTCTTTAAATATTACAAATTTCCCGTTTATTCCTAAGTACTGTTTCTTCGTAATTTTTACTATTAATGGGCTGGGCAGCCAGCTTGCAGTCTGAGTACTCACCCTCCACGCCAACAACCTTTCTGTGCCATCTGGTCTACCTCTCAGAAAGCTCTAATTTTCATTTCCTAACCCAGAGACGTGTGCCAGTCAGTCCCACATAGGCTGATGAGGACTCTCGGGGACATTGTGAAGGCTGCTGTGCACCGAGTGCCTTTTACAAGGATAAGTGCATCTGAGCCTCTTCCTTCCCAGCAGCTCCACAGAGGAAGGGGCTCCCTTGTCTTCTCCAAACTTCTGAGCCCAGGAGGCAAAAGTCAGGTTCCTCACAGGGACTGCCTTTTAAAAAACTATATTGTATTTATTTATTTTTTTGTATATGAGTGTATTGCCTGCATGCATGTAAGTGAGGCCGTGTCATGCAATGCCTGTGGAGGTCAGAAGAGGGTGTCAGATTCCCCTGGAACTGGAATTAGGACAGTTGTTAGCGGCCATGTGGGTGCTAGGAATAAAACCTAGACCCTCTGTGAGAGCAGTCAGTGCAATATGCTCATACACAGACACACACACACAAAAATATTAAAAAATAAAAATAAATTAAAAAATCAAGAATGGATATTGAATACTATTGGAAAAATATTCTGTACAAATGAGATTATAATATAACCCCTGCCCCAAATCTATTTATATGGTGATTTTTCTTATGTGTGTGAGGTATAGTATGTGTGTAGTGTATATGCGTGTGTATATGTGTGTAGTGTAGTGTATATGCATGTATGCATGTGTATATGTGGTATAGTGTTTGTATGGTATATATGCATGTGTGTGTGTGATGTAGTGTTTGTACGGTGTATATGCATGTGGTGGGGAGATGGGTGCATATATCTGTGTGAGCATCTATGAAGGTCAGGAGAGGCCAGAGGAGGATGTCCATGTCCTGTTCTACCAATCTTCTCCTTATTCCCTTAGGCCAGGGCCTCTCACTGAACCTGGAGCCAGGCTGGCAGCCAGCAACACTCAGTGGTTCTCCTGTCTCTGCCCCCCACAGTGCTGGAGTTACAGGCCTGGGCATACCATGCCTGTTTTTTTTTGTATGGGTGCTGGGATCAAAACTCATGTCCTCATGTTACATAGAGAGTAGAACTGGCTCATGAGCTATCTCTCCAGCCCCCGATTTTTTCTTAAGCTCTATTTCTTGGTGTTAGGCTACTGCCATATTTCTGATTCTAGTTCCCTGTTAGCTGTATAGTATTATGTCAATTTGCATTTTAGCCAACTTTTGCATTGATCTTTATAAGGTAAGACTGAAAGTTGGTTTGGGGTTTGGCAATGGTGAGAGTTGGTGCTTTTTCTCACTTTATGTGGAACCATTTAAATATAAAACCCAAGCCCATAAGCAATGCAGAAGACTGACTCCATCCCTGGTGTGCATGTGAACATTTTGATAAATGCTAAGTGCTCTACAACTGTTAACCATGGGGGCAGCAATATCCCCAATGCTTGGGTAAGTGAGGCCCTAGGAGAGAATCAGGATTAAAGGCAATGGCAAGGCTCAGTGCTAGAACTGTATGCATTTCCCCAGCATCACCCTTTTCTTAATCTGCTATGAAAACCCAGATGGGGTTCTTATTCATGAAAATCCCTGATCTCTTAATACCATTGATATGAGAGTAAGATGGGCCTTGGAAGCCTCAGATGAGCCTCCCACGGTTTAGGAAGGCTGAGACAAGGCCCCAGAGGTGACAGAATGGCCTGCAGATATACTGCCAAGGCGGCCACAGATTCCAGGCTCAGGGTGCTTGACTCTGGCCTGTGTGTGACTCTTTTGGTGACTCTCACTTGCCTCTCTTCCAGCAACAGAATTGAGAAGCTGCTTCCAGGCACCAGCAGTGACCTCTTCTACCCCAATCAGCTTTCCCCAACACATCTCACCTTGGGGATGACATATTGTCTGAATTTTGTGTCCTGGATCACAGCGTGGGGCAGACTAGAAGGAAGGAGGCTGATATATCTTTGTATCTCATGCAGCACAGCGTCGATATAGGGTAGCTTCATCTTGTCCTGCATGCTGGGAGGCTGGTGGCGTCCAATCACTCGATCGAGTTCTTCGTGAACTTTAGCTGCAGAGACATGAATTGTGAGTGCTGCCCTGGGCTGTATTCTTAGGAGACCTGGAAATGCTTTTGGGCAGTGACAGAAAGTGGCCTAGAGGCTTTCAGGGTCAAAGGCGTGTTGCTAGGCAGCCCTGTTTGGCTGCAAATCCCCAGGACTTGGCTGAAGGAAACAAAGGATAGGGTCAGGAATGGTCACAGCTGCATTTTTGGTTAGAAAAGGACCCATGGCTCATCACATGATTCCTAGCAAAACAGCTATAGAGGGAAAATGTTTGACCCTTACTCTGGCAGGAACGTCTCCATCAAGGCTCTCACTCTCTTGTGGGATTGGCAAACATCATTCTGTGGAGCAATGTAAATACAGACCTCCTACAGCTTGTGCTTTGCAAATAGGCTTGAGACTATCTAGCCATGGCCACAAGCTACACATTCATTTTTGAATTTCACTTCAGAATTATAGTCTGAGATCCATCCTTCTCCAAGGATCTATGGGCAGTTAATAGTTGCTGGGGGAGGGAGGGAGATTTTCTTCAGTGATGTAGCCTGATAAACTGCCTGTGCTCCTGTAAATTTCCCCTCACCTATGCTCCTGTCAGCAACCCTAATTTACTCATAACTCAAAACAATAAAGAAGAAAGAGATGGCCTGGAGAGATGGCCCAGAGGTTAGGAACACTGGCTGCTCTTGCAGAAGGCGGGGGTGGGGTGGGGGGTGTTTGATTCCCAGCACCCACATGGCAGCTAATAACTGCCTGTAACTCCAGTTCCAGGGGAATCCAATGCCCTCTTCTGACCTCTGCAGGCATTGCGGGACTCAGGTGCACTTAGACACATTCAGGCAATACACCCATACACATAAAATAAAAATAATAAATAAAATATTTTTTAAAAGACATGAAAGTAGGAGAGGCAATGGGGGACCAGCTGGGAGCAGGAAGGGAATCAGCAGGGGTGGGAGTGGGTAAGAGAGGGCAGTGAGGGAGTGAATATCATCAAAATGCATCGTGTACATATATGGAAATGTCTTACTGAGGGGAGAGATGGCTCAGTGATTAAGAGTGCATACTGATCTTGCAGAGGACCCAAGATCAGTTCCTAGCACCCGTAACAGGCAACTCACAACTTCCTATGACTAGCTCCAAGGCATCAGCACACATGTGTACATACCACACACAGACACACTCACATACACAAAATTAAAAATAACAGAATAAATCTTAAATAAAATGTGATAATGAAACCCATTGCTATGTATAATTAATATATGGGAATGAAATAAACTTTAAAGTGGGAAAATAGAAGTCTTCAATATGCAGATCTGGATGCAATTCCTGCATGGAAACTTGACTTTCACTCAGGGCTCTTTGGCCCTTCATAACATGTAAAACTAGGGATTCAGAAGCAACTGTTTTTTATTTATTTATTTATTTATTTATTTATTTGTTTGTTTATTATTTTGAGACAGGGTCTCCCTGTAGCCACAGCTGGTCTGGAACTCGCTGTGTAGACCAGGCTGACTTCAATCTCACAGAGATCTGCCTGCATCTGCCTCCTGAGTGCTGAGATTAAAGGTGTGCACCATCATGCACCGCTCCTATTTTTGAACTTAAATGGAAGTCTTTTAGCTCCTAAATGTCTCTTCTTTATCAGCATCATCAGACCTTATTCTGTCCTCAAAAGCCAAGCATGATGCTCAGTGAGGCAGCCTAGAGCCAGAGGAGCATCTCAGACCCCACCCTCCTCCAACACCAAGTTCTCATCTGGGTCACTGGCTGTACCTTCTACCTCTGGGTGCTTCATGAGGAGCAGGAGTGCGTATCTCAGGGTGGTACTGGTTGTTTCAGTGCCTGCTACAAACAAATTAGACCCACAGATTACCAAGTTCTCCAAACCAAATTCAGATCCCGGGTTGTGTTTCTCCTGCAGGTGGTGGAGGTAAAGAGAAGGGTTAAAGAGAAGGCGATGGCTTAACAGACTTCCATAGCCACACAAGATTCTACTGTGAACAAGATTCATTTTGTAAACTGTAGTACTGAGAATGCAGCAATCGGTCGCAAAGTTGTGTCTTCTGGGATCAAATCCCAGGTTAACCAAGGCACAGCTGTGTGGCCCGCTGCGTTAACCCCAACTCTTTTCTTAGTTTTTTAGGCTTTTACAGAGATTGAAAGAGTTAAAGAGCAGGAAACTCTTAGAACAGTGCCTCACATATACAGATACTCAGTGAACGACATACTCTTGTATAGTATTTATTGAAAAAGACTAGTTCTAGTTCTAGGCTCTGAACACAGAGCAGAGGAGGTCATGGTGTATGACTGGCCTGCTTCCTCCTTCTATCCAGCCCTACTGGCTTTCATATAATTTTCACTATTGTTAATGGCATTTTTTTTCTTGAGACAAAGCTTTACAATGTATCCCTGGCTGGCCTGGGGCTCGCTATGTAGACCAGGCTGGCCTCAACCTCACAAAGAATTGTCTGCCTCTGTCTCCAGAGTGCTGGGACTAAAGGCGTGTGCCACCATGTCCGGCTGCTAAAATTGGACATTTTTAACCATAATTTTGTTTTGTTTTGTTTTTGGTCTTTTTTGAGACAGGGTCTCCCCATAGCCTCAGCTGTCCTGGAACTATGGGGACCAGGCTGGCCTCGAACTCACAGAGATCCACCTGCCTCTGCCTCCCAAGTGCTGAGATTAAAGGCATGCACCACAATGCCTGGCTAACCATAATTTTTTACATGGCATCTACCAGCCATTTAGAAAGTAAACGGATCCAGGACTTAAAAATGGTGAGTAAGGTTCTATTTTCAAATGACTTCACACAAATAATAGAGATGAAATATTCTTTGCTTGGTCCTCAGCTCCTATCACAATACCTGGCACTCAGAATTTGTTCTATGAACAGAATTTTGATGATATAACAATACTTAACCTAATAGAACCTTCCATATCTTACTATATTTAGACTATTTTTATTATTGCTTTTTGGTGGCTTTTAATAGACTGGTTTTTAAATCTGAGGAAAGTAGTGAGGCACTTTGTTTTAAAAATCAACATAATTTTTAAAGCTTGGAATCAAGTTTGTCCAGGTTTACCACATGCCTCCTGTTGGCTTAGAAATCGGATGATGTCTGCCTTTGGAAGTCCAAAGTTTTCAGCAGGACTTCCTACCTAAAATCCATACTGTTTTTAAATGGAATCAAGAACACTGGGTATTTAAAATAATTCGCCCTTGGTGCTGGAGAGATGGCTCAGCAGTTAAGAGCATGTACTGCTCTTCCAAAGAACCTGTTTGGTTTCCAGCACCCACATCAGGTAGCTCACAACCACCTATAACTCCAGCTCAAAGAGATCCAATGCCTGTGGCTTCTGTGGGTATCCACGTGCACATGCACACATCCACACCCAGATACATACATATTGACATAATTTTAAAAAATAAATCTTTAGAATAATTTCCTCAATGACAAACGTCTAATCGATTGTTGTGAATTTTTTTTTTTTTTGGTCTTTTTGAGACAGGGTCTCCCTGTAGCCCCAGCTGTCCTGGAACTCACTATGTAGACCAGGCTGGCCTTGAACTCATAGAGATCCACCTGCCTCTGCCTCCTGAGTGCTGGGATTAAAGGTGTGGCTTGTTGTGAACATTTTTATAGAAGAGAGGGCTGAAGAGAAAAAAATGCCAATATATATTATACTGATATTCTCTGTTTTTAACTAAATAGGATGTACTGCATTGTATAATTTAATTCTTAGCATGACCCAAATTGTAGATACTTAGGTGATAAAGATTTAATATTAGAACAGAATACAACGAAATATTTCAAACATTTCTACCCATTTTCTAGTGATGTCATCTAGGAAAACAAAGGTGGAGAGCAGAGGAGAAGAAATGATTTGAGATCTAGACACTGAAATACCGACTGTTCTGGTTTGGTTTTGCTTTGTTTGGTTGGATACAGCGTCTTGCTATGTTGTCCAGGCTGGTTTCAAACTCCCGGGCTCAAATGATCATCCTGAGTAGCTGAGGCTACAGGTGCATGTCACTGTACCTGGCTTATTACTGCTGTGACAAGCTTGTTACAGTTTATTTTTATTTTATTTATTTTTGATACTTAACATATAGCTCAGGCTGGCCTCAAACTCACCTATTGTTTGCCTTAGCCTCCCAAGTGCTGGGATTACAGGCCTGTACCACTGTGTCTGGATTGGTACTACTGTTTGTTTTAATGACCTTACCATCAGACTATGAACTCTATTAAGGCAAATTAATTATTAAATGTATTCCAAGATTTTTTATAATATTCCAGGCACTGTGCTCCTTGCTAGTGACACAAGGTATGGAAAATAACACCACCCTAGACCTTTTGGAGTATATGCTTTGTAGTGGATGATAAAGAAGTCCATTAAATAGTGACAAATGTTGTGAAAGAATATTGCAGGGCATTAGCTGATTTACTCTTTTGTTCCATATACTGAGCAAGTCTGATAAATACCGTGAACTAAGTAAAAATTTTAAGTGACTGAATTAATAACATGGTATGACTTTTCTAGAGAGACATTGGTCCCCCTGATTCACTCATCAGAATGAACAGGCTGTTACAATGGACCTCCTTGGTAACTGGAATACCTTAATTGATTCCAAGCACATTTATGAGCCGTAGAAGGGACATCCATGATCTTTCCTTGGATATGTTTTCTAGGGAATCCTGGCTATCCAAACCAGCCCTCCCAAAGGTTAAGGCTACAGTTTATTATCAACTAAATGCTTGCTATGCTATGCATATGTATGATATATGGAGTGGCACTTTTTCATTTATATATTTGAGGCAATTTTACATGAACAATGCTAATATTACAGGGCTCAAAAATGTGCTTCAGAGTTGGAGCTTTACATGTAATTATACAGTTATACTTAATTGTTCCATCATGATGGTGCTTCACATTCAGCAGCACTCTGGGGACTAGTAGCTATGCTGTAGTTGTTACTCGGTATGCATAAAACCACTTATGGTTAATTTATAGTGCATTTGCTTTCGAATCCTTTATCCATCATGCCATAAATGACCAGAGTACCAAGACTGTCCGGCATGGTATGAGTTTGCCTGCATTTCCATAGAGGGCTAGAAGATAACATAACAGAGACCACGCAGGTATTGTACCTCCTCGATCTTGCTGAGGAAACAGTCAATGTAGTCCCGAGGGTTAGCAGGATCCAGCGACTTCTGATGCTCTTTCACTTTTTCCAGAATGAAAATTTTAATATCATTAGCTCTTTTTGAGAATTCTTTATGCTTCCCAGGGATATACTTCATGAATTTGGGCCACAGATTGTACATCTAAAAATGGAAGCAAGCAAACACAAAAATACAACAGAAATTCATTTCTGAAGAGACAAGAGAATTTGAGTGACACATCTAGAAAACAGAATGAAGAGTGAACAACACACACAGAACTGCATCCTTGTCCATCTCCTGTTCTCCCACCTCTGCTCAACCCCAGAGGCAGAGAGCACGGAAACATGCGGAGGGGCCTTAAACAGAAATGACAGGGAATGTCCCTCCCTGCCTGCTGTCTTTCCTTTCTTTAGTGCAGTGCTGGTCATCAAATCCACAGTCTCACAAACATTAGGCAAATGCTCTACCGTTAAGGGAAACCCCATCCCACTCCTTTTTTCTTTTCTGTGAGTAAAATTGTTGGGGTAAGCAGAGGGCAAGCTTCCCTAATTGTGTTACTTATTTACTCAGCATACATAGAGGGAGGGGCACAAAACCTATGTTTGCTCATGGATATGTCAAGGAAACTCCTACCAGGAGACCAATGAGACAGTCACAAATACAGGTCTTACCTGGCACCACAGAGAGTTTATTTCATAAAAATTTTTATTTAAAAGGCTCATGAGGGTAAGGAATGACTTGTTCTTGTACTGGAAACGCTCATTGAAGAGGATGGAGCAGATCACATTGCAAGGAGCGCAGGCAAGGATGAAGGTGGGGTCAAAGGGATGAGCTACGCGGGAAAGAAAAATTCTAACATTAGATTTTATTACTGTCATTTGCTGTGCTAAGAATTGAACTCAGGGCTTTTCACATGCTAGGCAAGTACTCTACCACTGAGCTACAGCCTCAGCCCCTTAATGTGAGTTTTGACAATATGAATCATCCTGCATTAGGATGTCAAGAACTGGCCTTCCCTCTTTTCAGAACTTCCTCTAACTAGAAGGTAAGCATCTTATAGCCATATTAACTGCATATAATATATATATATATACACAGTTAGCATATGCATTATTATTATAGCATGAGGCACTATATGTTCTATATAGTATTTTTAAAATATTTTATTTATTACTTTTTTGTGTATGAGTGTATTGCCTGCATGTATGTAAGTGCACTTGTGTCATGCAGTGCCCATGGAGATCAGAAGAGGGCATTGGATTCCCCTAGAATTGGAGTTATGGATGGTTGTTAACCACCATGTGGGTGCTGGGATCTAATATATTACAACAACTAATATATTACAGACCACTTATAATATGTTGAATACTGAGCAAATGTTTTGCTTATTATATTATTAATCTTTCTACTGGGTTTAATCTGTAGCCTGATGTTTCAAATGTTGAAAATGGATCTTAGAAAAGTTAATTTGTCCAAGTATACACATCTAGTAAGTGCCAAGGTTAGAAAAATTGAATCCAGATGAGAGCATTGGAGAACCCTCACTAGCAGCTTGAAGGATTGCCCCCCTCCCCCGACTCCCCCACCCCAGCTATCTCCCTCATAGAAGGGCAGATCTTGCACCAAGTGGCTCCAAAGGAAGAGCAAGGATTAGGGATAGAGGGTGGGTTCCACCTTCCGTTTTTCGTAACTCCTCCACCAGGCACTGGGCTTCCTCCTGCACCCTCTCTTCCAGGCTTCTCTTCCCCATCCCAAAGTTCCTCAGCGTCATGAGGGAGAAGCGTCGCATGAGCTTCCACCTCTGTCCATGACTGAAAACGATTCCTAGAAAAAGAGGCAAAGAGCAGGAAGGCATTTTGCATCACAAAGCTCAACTCTCCCTAGAGCTCTTCTTCTGTTCTACCCTGACTGTTTTTAGTTCTTCTTATCTGGGGCTAAGAGCTTGCAGTACATGGTGTGTGGTTCAGCTGACATGACTGTCATGAAGAAATTACAATCTAACCTCTGCTCAGAAGGGGACAGAAATGTCCAAAAGTGGTTGTTGGCAGACGGAGAATAGTCCCAACTGTGGAGGGAACTGCTGTCTTGCTTTGTTTAAAACAACCAAATCTATCATGGGGGGCTGGAGAGATGGCTCAGTGATTACGAGCACTGGCTGCTCTTACAGAGGACCAGGTTCGGTTCCCAGCACCTACACGGTGGCTAACAACCATCTGTAACGCCAGTTCCAGGTGCTCTGACATCCTCATCTGGTCTCCGTGGGCATTGCACACCATAGGTGCACTTATACACATGCAGGCAATACACCCGTATATGTAAAAATAAAAATAAATAAATTAGCTAGCTGTGGTGGCGCATGCCTTTAGTCCCAGCACTTGGAAGTCAGAGGCAGGCAGATCTCTGTGAGTTCAAGGCCAGCCTGGTCTCTATAGTGACTCTAGACCAGCCTGGTCTCCATATAGTGACTCCAGGCCAGCCTGGTCTCCATAGTGACTCCAGGCCAGCTGTGGCCACAAGGAGATCCTGTCTCAAAAAGATCTGGTCTCTATAGTGACTCTAGGCCAGCCTGGTCTCCATATAGTGACTCCAGGCCAGCTGTGGCCACAAGGAGATCCTGTCTCAAAAAGATTAAAAACAAGTTAGGAAAAATAAATCAATCAACAAACAAACCAACCTGGGGACCAAGTTTCTAACAAATACATCCTTGAGAACAAACCACATCTACACCACAGTAATCGCCAGAGCAGTTTCCTTTCTCATTTTTTTTAAATCCCCAGTTTCTAAATTATCCAAAATCAAATTTTGAGTAATACTGACAATGCTGACATTAAAATCAACCTGTCGGCCATCCTGTCTCTTCAACTCTGACTCCGAGAGCCGAGGTTGATCACAGCTTCGCTGAGCTCAGCTGTTATTTGGCGACCTCCTCTTGCTCATTCTCTCCTTTGGTGACAATTCTGCCCCTGCCCTATTTGTGCTTTGACTTTCGGGCTCTTCTTTAGGACCAGCTCAAACACCTTGCCTTTAAATACTGCCCATGTCCTCAGTCAGAGGTCCTGTTTCCACTCTTGCCTCTTGGTGCATTGATTTTTTTTTTTTTTCGACCTGGTAGCACAAAAATTTTCTTGTGTTATGTCCATTCCAGGTGCTCGTCTCCATAGTGCTAAGTGGCTGGCTCATTCTTCCAAATAGTTCTGATGCCACATGATGACCTCATACCTTTCCCAAAGACAGTCTGTACATAATTATATAAATATTCATTCCTCATCTACCAAATTAGCCAACACTTAGGAATTATAGTCACCAGAGCAATCGAACTTGTGGCAAAATTGCTTTTGTTTAGTCATTCTGAATGTCATGGCATATTTTAAAATTAAAGCAGAACTTGCTGCAAAAGTGATAAAAATTGTCTTTTTCTCAATCAATTGATCTCCTAGGGATTTATACAAATAACCCAACAGATAGCATAAAAGATATATACCACATTCTGCCAGGCAGGTTACTGCATGTCTTTAATCCCAGCACTCTGAGTTTGAGGCCAGCCTGGTCCACATAGTGAATTCCAGGTCAGCCAGACCCTGTCTTAAAAAAAAAAAAAAGTAGAAAGTACTCATAATGTTAACTGTTATAATAGTAATTATTTAACTTTAAAAATATTTCAATCTTTCAAATTTTAATGCTACTTTTATAACACCTTTAAATAAAGAGGTAAGTATACATTTGGAAAAATTACTTACTCCTGAAATTGGAAATTTGGATTTTGTATATGCTTTGGTATTGTTTATTTAATAAGTGTTCATTGATCTATATATCAAGTAGGACTCTGAGAAGATTATCACGATGAGCAGTCTTGCTTACATATAATTTTCTCTTTGCTGATTTCTCCAAAGGCATTAGGAATGTCTTTTGGGGAAGTTTGACGATTAAAGAAGAAGTGAAGTGGCAGCTAGGAGGGAGGTGTGCATAGGCAGTGGCCAGGGGCCTGTGGAATATGTGCAGGTTCCCAGGAAGGATTCTTCTGAGAGCAAGTTTATCAGTCAGAGTTCAATCTAAAAGACAGAACCTCTATAAATATTTAAAATATAAATCATTTAACCTGGAGAATTTTGTTTGTTTGGTTTTGGTTTATTTTTTGAGACAAAAAATATAGCTTTAGTTGGCCTGAAACTTACTAGAAGACCACACTGGTCTTGAATTCACAGAAACCAACCTGCCTCTGCCTCCTGAGTGCTGGGATTAGACGTGCACACCACTGTGTCTGGCCAGAGGATTGTTTTAAAGGTGATAGAAATGCTAACAAGCTAAGGCAGGGCAGCGAGGTAACCCAGTCAGTCACTGGAAGCTGCTTCCAATTTCTAATGGGAGAAAAGGAGGCCTTGGTATCACTGGAACTCAGTGGGACCATCCTGAAGGAGCTAGAGAGGCAGAAGACAGGTGCCTCATAGGAGTTCCCAGCGTTGTCTCTCCTGTTTCTAATCTCCCACCATCATATCTTGTGGCTGATCCTGTCAGGGTGAGGTTTCTGGACAAATGAAATTTTACCTAACCTTGTAACCAAAGCTTATCTTATGTTTTGAGATCATTTAACACTATCTCAGCTTGTTTACAATGTAAACAAACTTACTAGGTTACTTACTATGTAATGTAAACATATACCTTTAATCCTTTGTGACCTTTCCTTACCCCCATCTAGGGTAATGTTCCTCTGTGTGTGTGTGTGTGTGTGTGTGTGTGTGTGTGTGTGTGTGTGTGTTTACGCATGCAAGCATGTTAGGAAAATACCAAACGCTACAATCATGGATGTGTTTGGAAAGCAACAAATTACCCCATTTCTGTTGTAGACAACAGGTGGGATTAGATGGATAACATCTGTCTGTGGTCCTGCTGCTCTGGGTCAGTAGAGATCAGAAAGGGAAAATCTATTTCTGATAAGGCTTTTCATTTCTTCTCCATATCATGTTGGATGTACTGTTTCTATAAGGAGAGAGGCAAGGCCTTTGAGAGCACAGTTCTGAGAGAAATCTGAAGAAGTAAGTTCTCAGATTGGGCCCCACTCTTGGTTTGAATGGATGCTGAGAGTCAGGCTGTTTTTGTTAAGGTATCTCCATGCCATAATGCAGCATCTCACCAAGAAGCCACCTGTCAAAGTGGGACGTTCAATCTGTAGCCTTTGCAAGGCTATTAAACAGGGCCATGTGAAATGTGAGACAGGAAAGGAATGGCTGTCAGGATGAGCACAGACAGGAATGGGTCATCCTGGATAGAGAAGGCATTTCCACAGATGTGACATCCTTGGAGAGTGAGAGGCTGCTGGATCTAGAGCACATGTGGAATTTCCCATCAGAGGAAGAAAGGGGAACATGGGTAGACAGGCAGATAACCTGGATAGATAAAATGGTGAGAAGCCAAGAGAGCTCCTTTCTGATCCTTCTATTTTTAATTACTTTGAAAAATTATGCATACAAAGTAATGGGTTTCATTATGACATTTAATATACACTTGTTTACATCGACCCCTCCACCTTCTGATCAGCTCCCACATCCCTCCCAGTAGCGTTCTTTCTGCCTTGTCCTAGTTTGCTCTCTATTGCTGTGATAAAACACTCTGACCAAAAACAACTTGGGGAGGAGCAGGTTTATTTCAGCTTACAGTTACAGTCCATCCTTGAGGGAAGCCGAGGCAGGAACCTAAGCAGAGACGGTGAAGGAATGCTGCTTACTGGTTTGATTCCTCTGGCTTGCTCAATTATTTTTCTTATGCAACCCAGGCCCTCCTGCCAAACAACTGGCACCACAGTGGGCCAGGCCCTCCTACTTCAATTAGTAATCAAGAAAATGCCCCATGGACATGCCCACAGGCCAGTACAATGGAGGCAATTCCTCAGCTGAGGCTCCCTTTTCCCAGGTGACTATAGACTGTGTCAAGCTGACAAATGTTGCCAGCACAGCGAGCTTTCACAGCACATGTATTCTGTTACTCTTTTTCCATCCCAATACTCCAGTGAGACCTCCTTTTCCCTCTCATGGTCCCTTTTCTAGATTAATGGCCTATATCCCGTCACATACATACATACATACACATGAAAATAAAAGTCTAGGGTCAGTGAGATGACTCAGTAATAAAGGCGCTTGCTGTGTAAGCCTGATAATCTGAGTTCAACCCCCAGAACCCATGTGTGTGTGTGTGTGTGTGTGAGTGAAAGTAAAAGTGGAAGTGGAAGGAAAGAAATGACTCCACAGCATTGTCCTCTGATGTCCACACATGCACCGTGGCGTACAGGCACACCTCCCTCCTCTCTCTCTCTGTCTACACACACACACACACACACACACACCAAACTTTTTTAAATTAAAAAAATTAACATCTATGCTCCACATAAGAGATGAAACACGCAGTATTTGTCTTTCTAAGTCTGGGATACTTTGTTTAATATTATAATCTCCAATTCCATCTGTTTTTCTGCAAATGTCATGATTTCATTTTTCCTTGCAGTTTAGTAAAATTGCATGTGCGTACGTGCTATATTGGACTTACCCACTCATCTGTTGATGGGTATCTAAGCTGGATCCGTTTGTTAGCTATTCTGAACAGTAAAGCAGTGAACGTGAATGTGCTTGTATTTCTGTGTCAGGACCTCTTTCTTTTGGTTAGTTTGTCAATCTTGTTAATCTAGTCAAAGAACCGAATCTTTGAGTGATTATATGTTCTTTTAGTCTCTATTTCATCAACTTCTGGACTAATCTTTATTATTTATCACCATCTACTGCATTTGATTGGCTTCCTGTTTTTCTAGGAACATAAGATGCATCATTAGTTTAACTTCA